TTACTTGCAAATAGGCTGCGACCATTATTACATAAAATAATCTCACCTTGGAAAGCTACATTTGTCCCAGGCAAGCAAATTGCTGACAATGTTTTAGTTGCCCATGAAATTATTCATTTTATCAAGAAGAAAAAAATGTGTTTTTGCTTTCAAAGTTGATATGTCTAAGGCATATGACAAGATTGAATGGGTGTTTCTTACCACAATTATGCAAAAGTTGGGATTTAATGAGAAGTTTGTCAAGCTTATTCACTTGTGCATTTCTACCCCTTGTTTTTCAATTTTGGGCAATGGAGAGAATTCTAACAAGTTCTTTCCTCAACGGGGGTTACGCCATGGCGATCCATTATCTCCATATTTGTTCATTATGTGCATTAATGCTCTATCTCTCTTGCTTTCAAAACTTGTTGAGGATAAGAAATTGTATGGAATCAAGATTGCTCGTGGATGCCCAATAGTCTCACATATGATGTTCGCCGATGATTTAGTAATCTTTGGCAAAGACACGGTATATGAATTTGAAAATGTAAAGAAGGCACTTCAAATTTTTGGTTGTAGTTTGGGGCAAGAAGTTAAGTTTGCAAAATTTGGTATTCTCATTAGTAAGGACGTGCATCATCATCTTCGTAATATGTTAGTTTGCTTCCTGAAGGTGAAATGCATTTCACAAAGAGGCAAATATTTGGGAGCCCCCTATTTATAGGCAGAAACAAGAATGAAGTTTTTACTTCGGTGGTAAAAAAGGTCTGTGACAGACTTAATGGTTAGCGTGCACATACTCTCTCATTTGCAGGCCGGGTTTCACTTGTGAATCATGTGGTAATTGTTAGACAGTTATGCCTTTAGCTCTAATCAGATTGATGTATCTTTTGACATTTATTGTAAATGAATAAAAGTACATAATTTATTCATGTCATTTTGGTGTATTTCTGTGTAATACCCTTAAATTGGACACTTATGAGACTCGTGTTAGTTTAGAATCTTCACAGTCGTTGGATAGATCTGGGAAAATTTATCTTGCCAAGGCTGACACTGATGTACCGCCAAGTTGGTTGGGGTGGCTTGTCTCAGCTGCCAGGGTGAGACCTGAGGTACATGCAGTGTGGTTTTTCTTGAAACCCTAAATCGGACCAAAATTCTAGTATTGCCCTAGACCTTGGAGATAGATGGGCAAAACTGGAATGTTACACCTGACCCCTAGACTCGATTATGGTATTGCACTAGGTGTCGGATCGGGCTGTCTTCGATATGCCAATCAGTGAGATCCTTAGAGGGGGTCAAAACCTGGGTATGTTGGGACAACCCGAGAATTCATCTGAGTGGGTGATCATAGTGATAGGATCAGCCCCTTTGTCGGACAAAGTGAATGATCGGGGATGCACTCTCTCTGATGGAAACCTAAACTGCTGACAATTGATTTCAACCATTGAAATTTATTTTTGTAAAATATATTTATATAGAGATATACATACATATATATATATATATATATATTATGGTTTCAAAATGTTTACAAAAGGTTTTAATTCCCGAGATCCATGTGAGTGGAGAGTACAACACTGTTCCTTGCAGCCGAGGGAGAGGTCGTCTCTTGTCGGGCAGTGTTTGATCATTATGGGTTAAGAGGTTAAGTGTAAGACCATTAAGGGTAATACTTGATGGGCTAATCTTGCATCTGCCCACAGTCCTTGGGTTTTCATAAGGTGGTTGGACCCAATGACCATTTAGTGTAAATGTTGGGCCCATTAAGAGTCCATAGTGATGGACTTAGGGGTTCACTGTCTCCTACAGTGAATTTGGCCAGGCCTTGTAACAAAGGTTAGGCTAAACCCATGTGGCTAATGTGTAGATCAATGTTTGGGTCCCACGCCATACAAAGAGAGTCAATTGGGCAGCAGGTTAAGAAGTTAAGTGAGCATATAAACTTAATGGGCCTAAAGCCCAATTTTGAACTGGATTAATTAGATTAATTAAATAGGGGCGGATCTGGGTTTGGATCAGCAGATAAGGATAAGAGGATAAGAGGATAAGAGGATAAATCTTATCCACTTAAAGAGTCCAGATCCAAATAAAGATTTGGATCAGGAAACTCCTAATTTGATTAGGATTAAGCTGATCTTGAACTGCAGATAAGATAAGGAATTATCCTTATCACTTAAAGAGTCCAGATCCAAATAAAGATTTGGATCAGGAAACTCCTAATTTGATTAGGATTAAGCTGATCTTGAACTGCAGATAAGATAAGAGATTATCCTTATCACTTACAGAGTCTAGATCCAAATAAAGATTTGGATCAGAAAACTCCTAATCAGATTAGGAGGTTGTCTCTTTAAGGCTATAAATAAGAGTGCAGGGCGGACATGAAAAAGACACCAGATACAAGACAACAATCTGCAGAGTTCTTCCCTGTTCTTGCCACCCTACCCAGTTCGATCTCCACTTGTGGGAGTGATCAAGAATTGCTCTTGATATTGCTTCTTGATAGAAGAAGCAATCTGAAGTCGTGCTCACCAGCCCTCTACTCCATTCTTGTTGAAGAATTCAGTTCTTATTGAAGAGTCGTCCTACTGATCCTGCTTCACCACATACTGTGTCATCTTCAGTGGAAGTGGGTTTTGGTTATCTGCTTGGGCATGAACACCTTCATTGGGAGTTACTGCTACTTTGTATCAGGTATATCCCTCTCCTCCCTTTTGGTTTCAAATCTGGTCCGGTTTAGTTCAAGATTGATCATTGAAAATGCAGTTTTCTAAAATAGAGAATGCGACTCCCAAATGGGAGAAAGAGAAATTTTTGAAAATTTGCTCAACTTTCTTGTAGGGTTCGGCCATCCATATGATGGATTTCTCATCCCTTTAATAACAACTATTCCTACTTATATGATGTCAGTACTTTCACTCCCCATAACAACTTGTGATGACATAGAGAAGGTTATGTGTCGTTTTATTTGGGGTGCTTTTGATTCGAACAATTTCTATTCGACAGTTTCATGGCAAAAGATATGTCTACCGAAAGTTGTAGGTGGCTTAGGTGTGAGACGAATGAAATACTTGATGATGAGGAGTGGATGTCTGACTTAATTCTTACAACTACTGTGTTGTGAAAGATCTGGGACGCTCGTAACAAATGCATTTATCAAGTGTATTTGGCTCAGCCAATGGATGTACTTCATAGTGTGTATCGTTTTTGTGGGGAATGGAGTTATATTCAACAAACAATACATGAGGATGTGGGAACTCAACACATTTGTAGGAGAAAGGATTCAAACTATGTCCATGCTAAGGCGGATGTTATTATTTACACTGATGCTGCGGTCATTAATGAATCTAGTTCTGCTGCATGGGTGATCACTGGGGTGAATAATAGGTTCATCATGGCGGGAATTACTCCATCTCCTCTTAGTGATGTTAAAGGTGTGGAAGTATGGGCTATTCTCTCTACTTTAAGCATTACTCTACATTTGATCATCAAAAAATCTGTGTGGTAAATAACAATGTCAACATGATTACTGCCTTAGGAGGAGAATTGCTCTCTGCTCAACCAATTATATAAAGCCCACAAAAGGCTGATAGGACTAGAATTTATTAATTAACCATTTTTGTGCCTTTAATTTGAGTTAGGAAGTTGGGATAATTAATATAATTCGGTAGATAACTACATATTTGGCCTTTATGTATGTCTCAATCAGTAATTATGTGTTGGTGACTTATTATCTTTCCAACTTAATCATCTCAAACAAAAATAATCTGAGATATCATGGAATAATCCCTCCTTACAACACGATAGCAACAGGGTACAATTTTTTTAGAGGTCCTTTTCAATCAAGAAAGCAAAAAAGAAAAAGAATATGATGACATGGTCCAAGAAATAGTGATCGACTGACATTACCATTAAATGACATTTATTTACAATATTAAATGCGTATACTTTATACACTCCTAGTAGCCCAAATATTTAATATTTATTTTGCCATATAATGAAAATAGGCATTTGACTCTGGTTGGTTGCAAGCAAAATGAAGGAACATAAACCATTTTATGAAAAAGCCAAACAAATTAAGTTTAGGTGGGTCTTTATTGCAAATGAAAAGCTCAGGGGCTTAAGTCTTACTACCCTCCTCAAAGTACAGGATGTTAATCTGTAATTTACCCAAAAGGTGGCATAAACGTATGATGTGACGACTAGTGTTATTTGTTGTTAGTGGTATCCACGTTGTGGCGTTGGATGAATTGTCTCGGTAGTTTTGAGTCCCGCCATTATCATCTCTATTATAAGAAAAAAAGAATTGTGTGATTAGGTTGTTGATGTAATGTTATAGTGTTCACTTAAAAAAAGTAACGACCCCTAAAGTTATGAAAAAAATAAATAATTGAAAATTTGGCAACTTATTTAATGACAAAACAATAAACTATTCAGTTTGGGGGCTTTATTTAAAAAATACTCCCAAAAGTTCTCATACCATATGCACTCCACACCTCTAGACCAAGTTATAATGTGAGAACTACTAAGGGTATTTTTAGAATAAAAAGTACTGGATCAATGCCCCTTTACATTTTCGAGACCACATGATCATTCCTAGATGTAAATGCCAATGATTCTTGATGGAAGGTTGATTAAGCACAGCAGTTGCAAACTAGAGGATGAGTTTACTATAAGTGGGGTATCTAACCTTTGTGAATGTGTTGTTGACTTGGTGGCCTACTATCTTCCTAACTTAATCATCTGAGATAGCTATGGAATAACCCTCGTCCCCTCCCTACAACAAAAGGCAAAATCATGTGCTGATAGCAACATTAGTACAAAAATTTTGTAGAGGTGAGAGGTCCTTCCCAATCAATCAAGAAATCAGAAAACAAAAAAAAAAAAAGGAAAAAAATTCCTTCATTCCAAGGTCATGGTAGGTCAACCAATAATAAATATAAAGCATTTATGCCTACCAACTTCAAGAAATGAAAAGCACAAAAGAAAAATCCCAGAAATCACTTTTTTAAACTCAAATATTGCTGCATCAAAGCTTAAAAATCATTTGGTGATAAGCTTAATTTGCTTAGCCTATTCAAAACATATTTCAATTTCAAATAGAATAAAAAAGAAGAGGGTGACATGGTCCAAGAAATAGTATCCCTCCAATGACATTTACACCATTTCTACCAAAAAGAAATGGAATCTACACCATTAAATGCGTATGCTTTATTTATTCCTAGTAGCCCAAATATTTAATATATATATTATAATGAAATTAATCATTATATTTCTATCAAAAAGAAATTAGTGATTGAATTCTGTTTGGTTGCAAGCAAAAGGAAAACAAATCATTGTTTTTTTGGAAATTGCTTTTTAGTTTTTACATTGCATGGTTGCATGTAAAATGGTTGTGAAAATAGTGATTTTTTAACATTCCTTCTATTTTTTCATAAATTATGCTCCCATTCAAACAGAGACAATAAAAAAAAAAGCCAAACAAATTAAATAAAAACATAAATTCGATGTTTATATAGTAAAGAAAAGGCAGAGCTGATGCCTCCCATGATCTACAGAGACCCAATCCCGTGCCTTTTTTTATCAGCAATCCCTGTAATAAAAATCAATTCAGCCACAATTTCTTCTTTTTTTTTTTTCCTTTTTCACAGTTTTTTTTTTTCTTCATGGATCCTGCTTTACCTATTTTCACATCTCCCATTTTCATTTAACAAATTACACCACCCTCCCTCTCCCTCAACAATTCTCTCTCCTCCTCCATAAACCATAAATACACTATTTCTCTTCAAATAACAATAATAATAATAACAATAATAATAATAATAATAATAATAACAACAATAATAATAATAATAATAATAATAATAATAATAATAATAATAATAATAATAATAATAATAATAATAACTGTACACTTCCTACACTCCCTAATTTACCTCAACAACCATTTCTAGCCCAACACGGCGACCATCACTTACGGCTTGAGTCCCGCCGTTACAGTTAACGGCCATACCGTCTACGACCCGGCCCCATAACTTCTCCTCAGTATTCTCCTTCGGGATAGAAGCGGCAATGGCCGTCAGATCTCTTTCGTGCACGTTAACCTTCAGCCCGTACTTCATGAACAGCGTCAAGGACATCTTTTGCTCCACACGGTGCCCCGGTGCTACGGTGAGCCGGTGCCGTAGCAACACCGCTGCCGCGATCGACTTCATCTGCAGATAAGCTAAGTCCTTCCCTAGACAAATCCTGGGCCCGGCATTAAAAGCTACGAACTTGAATGGGTGTTGTGCTTCGAATTGCTTCTCGTCCGGTGATAACCACCTTTCTGGTCGGAATTTCAGGCAATCCTCTCCCCACGTGAACTTCATCCTGCCGGCAGAGTATATAGAATACGTGATCGCCGATCCCGCCGGAACGAAAGTGCCGTCCGGAAGCACGTCATCGGCGATTACATGCTTCGAATCCTCTGGCACTGATGGGTAGAGCCGAAGGGTCTCCGACAGTGCCGCTTTCAGGTAGACCAGTCGGTCAACTTCCTCGAACGCCAGGGGCTCGTCTACCCACTTCGACGGGTTGTCGCCACGAGTTTCCATGAGAACGGTGCAGATCTCACGTAAGATCTTGTCTTCCACATTCGGGTGGTGGATCAGCAACCAGAAGAACCAGCTGAGGGCCACGGACGATGTGTCACGGCCGGCCAGGATGAAGTTGAGTGCAACGTGCTGTAGGAATGCATCCGAGTAGGATTCCTTCTTCTTCATGAACCTCGAGAGAAGGTCATCGTGTGGAGTTCCTCCTTCGTGCTGACTCTGTAGCTCCAGCTTTCGTGTCTTGATCACACTGGAAAGGTACTCCTCTACGTGTTCGACGCTCTCAGTCAAGGTAACTTCCATGCCAAGCCGGAGCAACTTCTTCAGCTTCCATATGACCTCGGGGAAGATAAAGCGCTGGAGCGACGCCTCCGTGGCTCGGTCGAAGGCGGTGGCGAAACCGTTCTCCGGCAGCCCAGGAGATAAGGTCTGCGGGTCCTTACCGAACGCCAAACCACAGATGTTGTCGAAGGTGAGGCGAAGCAAGAGGTCTTGCAGATCGACGGCCTTGGATTCCAGCTGAGCCGTCTTCAGAATGGGACAGAACCTCAGTTTGATGGCTCGGTTCACCCATCGAGCCATGGCTTGGCGCAGCGTCCGAGTGGTAAACTCGAGAGCAGCGGTCTTCCTCTGAAACAGCCACGTGTCTCCATCCGAATTGAAGATCCCTTCACCAAGTAGATCATGGAACACAGCCTGCCAGGTGGGACCCTTTGGGTAGTTGTCAAATCGGGTCTTCAATATGTGCTCCAGATTCTTCGGATCGCATGTGACCGTCACGAGACCTTGCTTTCGCGCCAGAAAGGGGATGGCGCAGATGCAAGTCTGGTATGTCCCTCCACACGCTCGAAGATTCTCGGCGATCCATTCGTGCATGCGATCGGCGTTCTCGATCAGCCCCGGGAGGCTACCCAACAAGGGCCAGACACGTGGACCATTTAATGACCGTGAGATGAATCTGAACCAAAATAAATAGGCTACAACGCCAGCGACCAGCAACATAACCGTAGACGTCTCCATACGTGATAAAGCTGTTGAACTGCAACCAATCACAGTCGCCGGTAAAAGAAATTGCCGGGTAAATTAACCGGTTCTAGTCCGGTAAAAACCGACTGGGTTCGGTTCTCGAAGTTGGCTGAACGTAGAAACACTATATTTTCAAGCTGAACAACTCTGAAGCTGATCCTCGAACAAGGCAAACTTCAGGTAAGAAAGAAAGAAACAGATCACGTTTCTGATGGGATGTGCCGGTTCTCCGTGTCTCCCGCTTCTTCTGCTAGCAGCATTGTATGTACGACGTAAAATGAAGGAAACCCAAATGTAGAAAAGAAAAACCAGAGAATATGAAAACTGGAATGCGGAAAAGAAAAGGAAAAAGGAAAGAAACTAGATAGATAGTGCAACTGGAATGCAGAAAAGAAACTAAACCCAGGTGAGAAACCTGGGTTTTTTACGTCGGAAAACCAGATCTCGACGAAGGAGAGGAGATCAAGTTAGAAATGGGTGGTCTATGACTGTGAACAAAAGATAAGAGGATACATGGATTTATAGGTGAATTGACATTGAAGCTCAGAGGCAATTAATGTGACCAGACGATTCATGAATTGCTCCATCTCTCTCTCTCTCTCTCTCTCCATCCTATTAGGCTCCTAACACTCTGAAACCCGCCATTAAATGCCATCAGAGGTCGTTGGGAATTTAAGGTAGACCAGCCAGGCCCCGAAAGAGAAACCACTTGGACAAAATCGAACATGGGTCTCCTCTTAGGCAAACCCCAAAGCCATGCAATCTCTCTATCTTACTCTCCTACATACATATACACATTACACATATACAGACACATACACACACTCACCTAATTCTGCAGGAAAGGAGGTCGTCTTAAATTCACGCATTCAATGAAGAGACGAAGTAAATGGGATTAGTTGACGGATAAGAAACAAAAATTAAAAAAAAAAACCGGCAACCGGCATTTAGAGTCGTGGCTGTTTCTTCTTGAGTAAAAGATGAATTTAAATAATTAGTATTAAAAATTAAAAAATGCACATTAATTGTTCCCTTAAACACACGGGATTTCTTTTCTTCAGTCTTCTACTTGAGAGTTGAGACGGTTTGGGGTTGGGTGAACGAACAACAAGAAGAAGAAGATTTAAAATCCAGTCTTAATTAAACTCCAACTTTATCCGAATATATATAAGAATCTGAATTCCGTGCTACTTTGGTGCAACTTATTCGCTACTAACTTTGGAGCAACTGTTTCCTAACACTAATACCCTTAGCTCTACAATCCGGTGAACAGATAGGCGGGGGTCATTCGGAATAAGTCAAAACTGTGGGACTCAACACTGAATCAAAAGAAGTCTAGAAGCGCATTAATTTGACGTTTACTATGAGCTGGGCTGGTTTTCGTACCTCTATGAAGCTCTGTTCTGCTCTGTACTCTCTCTCTCTCTCTGCAAGCTTGCTCCCAAGTTCACCACTTCACCCTGGATTGATGAGTGATGAGTCAGTCGAAATTCTGCATTTGGTTCAGTAAGGGGGACCGGCTGGGTTTAATTTTACTCAAAGGGTTTGGTGAATTCCATTGTTTTAATTTCGTTTGTATTAATCGGTGGGATGGGTCCCTCAGGATCTCAAGATTCTTGGGTGTGGATAAATCCCTTAAAAGAATGCAAGCCCATGATTATAAAGAAAAAACCGACCCACCATGGTACATCAATGCACGGGATAAAATGGGAGGTGTTTTTAATTCATTGTCCATAGTTCAATGTAATGACCACAGCAGAGTTTCTCGGCACCGACTAATTCCAAGTGTTCGACACTGAGTCTCAGAGAGAGTCTTTTGGTCAACGCATAGACATTGCCAGGGTGTTCTAAACTTGAAATGATAAAGGCTAGGCCCAACTGCCCAAGTCTGAGGCTGTTTTTGGATAGCTGTTGAATTGGTTGTGATTTGTGAATTAGGCTGTGTAACTCAAATTCCTTTTCCTCCTCCATTTTGTTGTGTTAAATGAAGTGTGGAAATGGAATTGATGGATCCATATGCAAAAAAAAAAGCCCAATAAATGAATTGGATCCTGACCATTTCATACGCAAATTAATTGGATCCTACCCATTTCTTCTCGATCAATCCACCAAAGTGTTTCAAAATAAAAGCCCAAACTAGAGATTTTCAAATCAATTGAACTTAATACCCATTAGCCATTACAATTCTCGAATGCCAATTTTCAAGCCCATAATCCAAATACAACCTAAGACTGTAGTGGGATTAGAGGGTGAGAACCTAACTCTACATGTTTTCAGATTTCGCCATTAGGGTTCTATTGTGTAATGGCGTGGAGTTTGAAAGCTCAGATTTTCAACACCCAATTTCCCATTGTTGTGGTTTTGTATACTTTAAAGCATTTGAACTCCATGGAATTGGGCAGGAATATTATCAATTACGATGAAACTTACTTGTCTTCCACTCTTTTGCACAGACGGAGGAATCATACCAAGCATTAAAACTAGGGTTGGTGTGATGCAAGGAAATGAGTCGAAGCTAGGCTGATGCAAGCCTCGTGGCAAAACTTTTGACATGCGTCTAAGATATGGAGAAGCATCAAGACATCAAAGGACCGAATTAAGAAGGGGATGGATCTCCATTACTAGGGTTGCCGCTTCACAGTGGCCTCCAGAAAATTTTAGCTATATATATATATATATATATATATATATATATATATATATAGCTTATTTTAAATGGAAGGGTAAGATTGAGAGTAAATATTTTTTTTAAGTTCTTTTTGGATTAAGCACTTGTTTTGGGTGAGGATCATACCAATAAGTCCAAATGACCACTCACTCAAGAAGTCCAAAATTTAAGTTTATTCAATAAATGTTTATTTTTTTTAGTCCATCTTGATCCACTATGTTATCTTGAAACCAAGGTTTTTAAAACCGACTTAAAGAATCAACTGGTCAGGGGTTTGGTTTCCGGGTCGAACGATCGGTTTGTTCTGACAAAAAAATTAAAAAACGGTCAAAACTATTCAAACAGTTAACCACTCAGGTCAGTGATTTACTGACCAAAATCAACGGTTTTTTGGGAAAAATCTGATTTTCTGAAAAAATGGAACTTGTCACCTAACTGGTTCTTGAGTTTACTGGTCCGACTGTCCGATCTGGTCCAACCCTATTTGAAATAAGTGATTTTACACCTAACACTCATGAACGCATATTAGAATAAGCACTTAATTATCAACTAAGCGCTCCAGACATTACTAATAAGGTAGGACTGCAAACGGTATCCAATTGTAAGGATCCGATTTTGAATTTGATCCTGGATGATTTGAAGTATCCACCCTTATCCTATTTCAATAATATCAAATTTGATTCAATTTAAATATATAATATATACTTCACTTTTATATTGTACGATTGTATCCATTAGTAAGATGGTTTAAATGTTGTGTTTTAATTAAAATTGTCAGGTTCAGGTTTAATACAAGTAATTTTAAAATAAATTTATTCATGAAATATAAATTCAAATCATAAGTTAATTATTTAGCTCTCATGCATATCCCGTTTGCATTCGATTTTCCATATTAATTTGTCCCTCATGATACCTGCCGATCTTGTGAGGTTAAAACTTTAGGCTAGTGTTTGCTTGGATTATATTGAACGTTGAGTGAATAAGTTCAATGTTCAAAAACATTGTGCCCAACTGCCCATATCGATCAAATGTTGAACTAACAACTTGTGGGAGATCCTACCAGAAGAAGATGATAGGTGGCATTTGATAATATTTTTCAGACGTCTAATGTTTAAACAATTTTGTTTCTTTATGCTCAGTTTGCAAAGAATATAAATGCAAATATGTATAGTGCAAATGTATATAAAATATAAAATAATACAAAATGTTTAAGTGTGATTAAACATGGTCTTGTATTTTAGTCTTACCACGATCAGATGCATTTTAGAAGTGATGAAATGGCATTAATTATTTAATAATAATGATTTTTTTATTTCTATTTAATAATAATAGTAATTAATAACATTTTTAATATTATCAAACACTCTATTTTTATGGGTAAAATAATGACTTCCATAGTTTCAGGCCTTGGAGAATTGCTCCAATTAAAACGATCTGATATTTTCAAAGTCTTTAAAAAGCAGAAAATCATCTATATACTTCTTTTTAAACATAAATAACTGATTTTTTATTTTTCAAACATCAAACTTTAGAGTTATCAAAAATCACTTTAGTTCAACATTTGATTGATATGGACACCATGTCTTGGTAGAGTACGCCATCTAACCACAAAAAAAAAGGATTATATCTCTCCATGAATTTAACATACAAGTCACGAGAGATTAGGGGTGGATTCGAGCTGAATTCGGCTCGCCAAGGTAGTATAAAAATAAAAAAATATATATAAAAATATTTCTTATTTGATATTTAAAAAATTAAGAATTATAATAATTTGTTATTATTATTTATAAAAATAAAAATATTATATGTATATATATAATATTTTTTATAATTTTGTATATTATTATTATTATTATTATGTAGCTATTCAAGTTCGATTTACGAGTCTTACAAACTGAGTTTTATTAGGCTCGAGTTCAAATTCGGCTCGAAGTTTGATTGAAACTAAGCTAAGTTGAACTTTTCACGAGCCAAACTCGAATATAAAGAGTGCTATCCTGGTTGGGGTGAATATGAAAACACGAATGATATTTGCCCACTTTGCAAGGAGGAGAAAAAGAATCTATTATGAATTTGCATTTCTTGTTGGTGGTCTCAACCCCTCAATAAAATGCAAATACATCTATCTACCTTTGCAATAAATTCACGGCATCACATCAACCGATTTTTTACGTCAAATTGATGATTTGCTCGCATTTCATTATAGTGTGGGGGTCGCAAGCAATACAATACCAGGAAATGTTGTCTCATCTATTATGCACTTATTCTTCAACTACTCATCAAGCAGCATGGCGTTTGGTGGATTGCTACCCTTTCAGCACAATTGATAAGGAATGGATTAATCAAAGTTGGTGGGAGACAGACGGTGTGTCTACATGCAAATTAACATATTATCTCTTCTGTATTGGTTCCATTACCCTCAGGTAGGGCTGTCAATGGATCGAGTTCGGTTTGAACCTCGTCCAGACCGTAACCAATTGGACCGATTTGGACGGTCCGAAGTGTTACATCGAACTGGATTGGTCCAAAATTTGATTGCCGGTAAATTAGTGAATGGAAACGGATATAATTCAAATACTCAATGGTCGTTCAATTGTCCATATAATCTTTTTCCCTCTCTATCAGAGGGTTTATCTCCGGCAATGAGTATGCATTCTCTCTCTCCGATAGTATATTAGAGAGCATTTTTGGGTGATCTTTTCTTTAACCGATGATAGACGGTCTCTTCTTTAATTGATGGCATACTATATAGGTCTCTCTCTTCGGAAATATTACAGAGAGTGTTTTCAAACAATTTCAGCAACGATCTCTCTCCTTCATCTCCGGCAACGATTCCAGCCTGAGATGT